TGCTAATCTCCTGCCTCAGCCTCCCAAGTAGCTAGGATTACAGGAGCACACCACAACACCTGGCTAATTTTTTGTATTTTTAGTAGAGACTGGGCTTCACTGTGTTGACCAGACTGGTCTTGAACTCCTGAACTCACGATCCACCCACCTTAGCCTCCCAAAGTGCTGGCTTCTTTTATTTCTTAGAAAACCATCCTCTCCAGGAAACCCCATCCAATCATTCTGCTTCCTCCTCCTGTCCTCTCCCAGGAAGTTCTCTCTTAATCTGTAAGCAGGAGATCCTTCCAAGTGATGTGCACTGTGCAAGGAGGGGCTGAGAGGGGACCCATGGCCTTTGCTGCCTGCGTGTTCTCCTCTGTGGAGATGAGCCTGGGATCCAGAAACTTTCTGAGCACAACTGTCAGCTGTGCTGTCCTTCCTCCTTCTGTGCTGAGCCTCTTCCCGGGGCAGGAGCACTTCTCAGGCTCATGGGTGGGGTCTGTGCCCAGGACACGTCTCTGTCCCCTCCCCTCTCAGTGCTGCCTCCTTGTCCCTTCTTCTCTTTTTCCTTTTGTGTGTGTGTCAGGTCCCTGGGAATTGAGGAGGCCTCTGTCTTTTTCAGCAGTGATTCTGTCACCAAACCTCGACGCACACTATGTGCAGAAACAAAAACACATACACAAAAGAGACACACACAGACATACACAGTCACACACTTACCCTGTAGGTTAGGCAAGCACAGTCCTGGGCCTCAGCCTCCTGCTGTCCCCATGGCTCTGGGTTTGGGTGCACATTCGCGTCCTTTGCCCTCTTTCATCCTCATCTGGCTTTCCCGGTCAGTGCAGGAGGCTGGAGCTGCACCAGATCCCTGTCACAGGGACACCCCATTGTTCTGTGGGTGAGCTGTGTGTTGCCTGGTGAGAGGGACCCTTCCTTTCTCTAATTGTGTCTAGTTTGGCTGTAGCTTCCAAGGTTGGACATTCAGGACCTGGGTGTCCCAGAGGAAACTATGCTTCCTGGAGCTGTTCAGAGTGAATCTCTCATGCCTCTTGGGAGGAGAGGCCTGTGGTGGTTGCTCAGTGGGGACTATGAGTCCCATTGTCAAAGGGACAGTTCTCAGTCACTATATTGCTCCCTGGGGTCTGGTGGCTGAGCTGGGCCTCAGGGTTTCTCATTTCTTCTGACTATCTTTGGTGTCCTCTTTTCTGTCCAGCTGATTGTCCTATGATTACCACACCTTCCCCATGGTGGCGCAGGAGGAAGTGGGGAGTTACCCAGGAATCCCGTGGAACATGGCTCGTTGAGATGCAGGAAGGGGAGCCTGGGACAGAGCAGGGCTTCAGAGCTGGAAAGATTCATCCTGACTTACTCCGTGGTCATGATGGGCTCAGCCCTCCATGTGCTGACATACCCAGGGGTCTGTTCTGAGGGTTTTGAACTGGCCCAGCTGCTCTCTGTAGAGGAGGAATAGGCAGTCGCCAGAGAGCCTTTCTGGAGGGACGTTGCTCACCCCTGAGAGAGCGGGTGGGGGTGAGTTGTGTTCTGGAAGCAAAGAACAATTTTACCCCCTTCTCCTGGCAGGGACACAAGAGAGGTCTGTCTTCCCAAGGGACAACCGTGGGTAGGTGACCACATCCTGGATGGTGCCTGTGTGTGACGATCACACGCGCTCTTCGCCCCATGGGGTGAAGTGGACAGACAGGTCACAGGGTGCTGGACTGATTCCCAGGGATTCTGTGGGCCCTTAGGCAACTGCTGTTCTGTGTCAGCGTTAGGCTTGGCCTGGGATGCCCCAGGGAACAGGACACGAGGAGCACGCACGGGCATTTAGGGAGCAGTGACAGAAAGAGTTGATGAGGATGGAGAGAGGTCACCAGGGGAAAGCGCCCAGTGTGGTGTCACCTGCACCAGCGCTGCCCTGGGAGATGTGTTTTTAGTTGATCCCAGGGAAGGTACAGGTGTGTGGGGCAGGAGCTGCCTGCAGAGGGAGTGGTGTTAGGTTGGCGGCCGCCAGGTCAGGGAGGAGCTGACACAGTCTGTGTGGGAGCATGGAGGGTGCTGAGGACTTGGGCCAAGGTGATCCTGGTGAGGGTGGACCCTGCTTGGCTATGGGTTCTGCTGAGGGTGGTCTGCATCCCCTGGGAAGGCTCCAGGCTGGGAGGGACCCTGCTGCCCTCTGGTGGACTGGAGGGGAAGCGTGGGTGGCCAAAGTCCCAGGCCAGGCTGCGTGTTTTATTCCACAAGGATCTGCACATTTCACACGAGGTCACATATATGTTATGTTACAGCTCCATCACCTTACAGCCCCGTGAGTCCCAGTCTCTGTGGCTCTACGTTCACTGTTCTTCCTCTTTCACAATCGCAGATTGTCCCAAATGCAGATTTTTGTCATCTTCTGTGAGTTTGTGTTTGCGTGTAGTAGACGGCACTGTATATACCCTGGGGACACTGATGTCCGGGGCTGAGCACTGCACATGGGCTTGGGAGCAGAAGACGGAGCAGCAGCGCAGGAGAATCAATGCCCGGGGAGCAGGGACAAGTCATTTTCATTTTCTCAAGCCAAGGGACCAGAACCCAGGATTCTGACTCCAGGGTGCAGTACCACACCCTGCTGGTGTCCCTGGGTGTCATGAGTGCTTATAGTGTCATGCTGCCTTGGCATTCATTTTTTAAGGTGTAAGTTTATTTGCCTCCCATCAGAGGCAGGCCTTGCTCACCATGGCAGTTTTCAATACTGTATCTGGTTCAAGTTTCTCCAGTTGGTGGCCAGAGATAAAATATTAGAGGCATCTATCCTGCTTGGTGTGCTGGGCTCCCCTCTCTCCAGCTGCTTTCATTAAACTGATAATTCTGACATGTGCCCTTACATTTAAAGTGACTGCTTCTCAGTCACAGCATGATCTCCTGGTCCCAGTGTTTGCTGCTTGCTTTACACATATCCATTAAAGCTCCCTGCTGGAAACCTTTCAGATAACACCTGGACTTACTAAAGCCACTGGCTTACCAGTCTCTTCTCTCCTCCGTGTACGGGCTCACTGACCTCTGTATCTGTGGTTTCCAGGTGTGCTCAGTGCTCCTCAGTGTCTCTAAGTAGTAAAAACACTTACACTTTCATGTTGTGGTTGTATCACTATAACCTCACATGCCATCCAGGGCCTGACATCGAGGCTACCCTATGGGACCTGTGCTGATTGAACTCCTGCTTTAGCTCTTGTTTTGGGATCTCTGGTTCTTCTGGGGACAGGAGCTTCCAGCTAGCTTGATTGAAAATCTGATACATTTCATTGAAAACACTGGGTCAGATGATATATTCATGGACTTCAGCTGCCATTACAGAAATGTTAGCCTGGGTGAAGTAAATAATAGAAAACGATTTTTCACAGTTCTGTGAATAATGTGCTATTTTAACCACTTTAAAATGTGCAGTCAAGTGGAATTAACCACATGCACAGTGTTTAGTTGCCATCACCACTATTTTTCCTAGAAAATATTTTTTCATTTTAAACTTAAACTTTGTATCTTTGAAACATTAATAACTCCCTGTGTTTTCCCCCTAGACTTTGATCATCTCTACTCTGTCTCTATGAATTTGCGTATTCTTCATGTTTCATATAAATTATTATACATATATGTTATTTTGAATTATACATATATGAATTATACAAATATGTTATTTTGTTTCTGACATATTTCACTTAGCATAATGTTTCCAAAATCCTTGAATGCAACAGCGGATGTCAGAGCTTCCTTCCTCTTTATGGCAGACTGACATTCTGTTGTATGTGTAACCACATTTGTTTATTCATGTGTTGATGAACATTTGGATTGTTTTCATATTTTATCTTTTGTGAGTAATGCTGCAATCAACATTACCATGTAAGTACCTGTTTGAGTCCCTGGATTCAATTCTTTGGGTACATACCTAGGAATGGATGCTGTTTCATATGAGAATTCTATGATTAGCTTCTTGAGGAACAGCACAACTGTTTCTCCTAGTGGTTGTACCTTTTTATAATCTCACCAGCAATGTGTAAGGATTCCAAATTCTACATAAGGCTTTCACTTGTTATTTAACATTTTAAAAGAATGTTAGCCATATTTGTAGGTGTAGTGTGGGACCTCATTGTGGCTTTGACTTTGTATTTTCCTAATGACTAATGATGTTGAGTTTCTTTTCAGGTGGCTCTTGATGATTTGCATATCTTCTTTGAAGAAATGTCTATTTGAGTCCTTTGTCCATTTATATAAATTGGGTGGTTTATCTTTTTGTTATTGAGTTGTAGCCATTCTTTATATATTCTAGGCATGAAACCATTGTCTATGTGATTTGCAACTTTTATGTCTCATTCTGTGTTTGGTCTTTTTATTTTCTTGATAATATCCTTTGATGCACGAAAGGTTTGCATCTTTAGCTGAATTTATCTATTTTTCCTTTTTGTTTCTCATGCATTTGGGTCATACTGGAGAATCCGTGGCACATTTGAGGTCATTAAGTTTTACCCCTAGGTCTTTTTCTAAGATGTTTTTGTGGTTATAGATCTTATAATTAGCTCACTGATCTATTTTTACATAATTGTTTGATATGGTTGGATGTTTTGTTGTCTAAGTTTATTGTTTTGCATGTGGTTATCTAGTTGTTTCTGCACCGTTATTTGAGAGGATTGTTCCTCCATTAAATTATCTTGACACCTTTATGCAAAAGCAATGAACTATAATGGTGAGGATTTATTTCTGGACTCTCAATTCTATCCCTTTGGTCCCTATTTGTATTCTTATGCCAGCAGCCTCTGTTTTTAATAGTTGTAATGTCTTGTGAGATTTCAAGTAAGAAAGTTCAAATTCTGCAAATTTTTTTGGCAAAATAGTTTTGGTTCTTCAAGGATACTTTTTTGAAAAGCAAGGAGGGCAATATTTTGCAATTAGAAAGCATTTTCTGTCTTCTTTTGACGGAAATTTTGCAGTGTAGGGATGTTTTCAGGAACTTTATCAAAGTAGGTAAATTGTCACCACTTCCTTTGTTGAGGTACTCTGTTAAAATGTGTTGCCTCCCGTTGAGGAGTTGAGAGACCCTGGAAGCACTTGCCCATGTGGTGAGGGACAGTTAGCTCCTTAATGAGGGGCACAGAAGACATTGTTTTGGGACACAATGTTGTCAGGGGAGCTGTGTGCATCTCTGCTTCTTTATTTTTTGTACAGGTTACATCTCTGCTGGACACACTAGATATTGAAATCTTTGTTCATTCTCTTGGTTCTGGTTTGGCTGACCTGTCAGCTGGAGCTGGAGGACATGCCTGGCAGGGGAGTGACCCCCATGGGAAAGAGCAGGACTCAGCAGAGTGAAAGCAGCTGGGACCCAGAGAAGCCAGGGAGGTCTGACTCTTAGAAGCCAAAGACCAACAGGTGGGTGTCCTCAGGGGTAAATGGACTACACTGGTACCTATTGCAGTGGACTGGAAAAAGGTAAGAGGCTTTGGATATTCCATTTTCTCTCTCAGCTCTTCAGCAGGAGATTTGGGCCCTGGGCTGGTACTGCCCTGTAGCAGGGGCAGGAAAGACAGGAATGGCTGCATATCAGGCCTAAGTCCATGTCATCCTCTCAGGCATTGCCACTGAAGATGGAGAATTTTGTTCAGAGGCCCAGCCTTAGCACATGGGAGGAGCCACCTTATTAAAATTAATTTAAGAAAACAGTATGCATGCTTTATTCTTCTAGAATAATTATTAATGTCATGTTTTACAATGTATCTCTTAAAAGAATGGTGAGAATCATCTACATAATGTATGTTTTAGGTAGTCCTTTCTATAATTGCAGCTTTCACATGTTCTGATAGAAACCATTTCCTTTAGGAACACACAGGCAGTATCTCTGTGTTGATTTCTACTGGGAAATTTTTATGCCAGGTGGAGAGAGTCACATTTCCTAATGAGAGATGGAAAGCATCTGACTACCAGATAAAGTGTCCAAACGCTGCTGGTAATGATCATGGGGCTGCGGGTAGAGGTCAGTTTAAGGAGGTGTCATGGAAAGTAATTTTGAAAGTCTTTTTTTTTTTTCCTTTTTTTTTTTTTTTTTTTTTTTCTTTTACAAAATCAATGGCAGAAGCCACCAGCTGGACCCTCCACCTGTTGGAATGGATGAGGGACAGAAATCGAGCCCAGTAAATTAAGATTGAAATCCAGAAGTGGGCAAGAGGTTTGAGAGGTCGACGGGTGTGAGAGGTGAATGGGTGAATGGTGAGAATGTTCAAAACCTCTCCTTTCTCCATAAAAAGAGAGCATTTAGGCCGCTAAGCCAGACAGTGTCCAGGCCAGGGGGAGCAGGATGTTATCAGCTCTCCTGGGCAAAAGTGAGACTCCAGCAGTGTCCAGTTACCTCATCCAGTTTGGGATTTATTCCTGTTTTAAAAATGATCCAACAGTATGCAATTTTGAAAATTTACAAAAATTCCTATGCTACCATTCATAGATAGCCATGATGGCCCTAAGATGGTGAGAGAATCAGAATGGGGTTTGGGTTTACATTGTGTATTTTTTTCTCCCAATATCTACAGAATTCCCTACATCCAACTTTTTAATGTAACCCAGTAGGTGTCATTCCCTTTCGTAGTCCCGACCTTTCTGGTTCACGGTTGCAGACCCTTGGAAAACCCACACCCTTTCTGCTGTGAGGTACAGGCAGCCATGTGGCATCACCTCTAAACATGCCTTCTGGGACATCAAATTGCTGAATAAGTAAAAGTCATTTCAGTAGATATTGAAGACCTCCGTTTTACCCCTCTCACACTTGTAATTCTTCTACCAAGAGGTGATGGATTTTAGTGGTGATTTGCTTTTATAGGTTAGTGTAGATTAACGCTTCTGCCAGGTGCAATTTTTTCATTGGGAAAAGCATTTGGCAAAGTCTGGAGACATTGCTGGTTGACAGAGCTGGGGGGGGAAGTCCTGCTGGCCTTGAATGGGTAGAGTCCCCAGATAGTGCTGAACATTCTAGAGCTCACAAAGCCCCACCAGCATGACCACTACAAAGTTCAATGCTGAGGAGGAGTGGAGAGCCCTGATGTGCCTCCCCTAGCTTCCCTGGAGCTTTTTTACCTTCTCCTTCCATCAGTCTCTACCGCTTTCTCACCTCAGCTTGCTCTTTGAACTTTAATGTCCTCCACTTGAACTTGCCCTTAGTTTAAGACCTGCTGTAATCTCTGGACTTCCTTGGCCCCTTTCTGATCCTTAGCAGGGTGTCCTCTAGAGGACCCCCTCAACTTTCCTGGAGTTTCCCAGGATTCAGATGCCCCTGCTCTGTGTGGGCACCAAGGGTATGGCGGTGTACTTGTGTCCCTAAAGATGCTGTCATTCAGGACCTTTGTGTGAGAGCAACTGAGGTGATACTACCCTCCCCTACTTTTCTTGGAACATAAAAATTTGTGGAAACCTTGTAGAGTAAAATTTCTTACTGCTTGTAAAAATTTAAAAAATGTATATTTTTGCCTCTCAAACTGTACTGGGAAAAATTTATCACAGTCCCAGTCATAAAAAATGACACCTAATCTGGGTTATTTACTGTATTATTTGTTTAACAGCAAAATATTGGGAACAACCTAGACTTTCACCAGCACAATGCTAATTCAACAGATTACCTTATATCTACACAATAGAATATGATGCAGCTGCATAAACAGTAAAGACTCTTTCAGCTATTCCTATGGAAACAGCTCCATGTTCTGTTTTAATTTTAGCATCTAAATATCACAGAATAAGATGCAGTTTTTCTACTAGATCTGACCTTACAACACTATTTTTAATGTTTATTTTATTTATTTGTTTTATTTAAAAAGAGAGGGTCTCACTCTCATACCTAGGCTGAAGTGCAGTGGCGAGATCATAATTGACTGCAGCCTCAACTTTGTGAGCTCAAGAGATCCTCCTGTCTCAGCCTTCTGAGTAGCTGGAATCACAGGCATGTGCCACCATGCCTAGCTGATTTTTTGTGTTTGTTGCTGTAGAGATGGGGTTTCACCCAGGCTGGTGAAACCCCAGGCTGGTCTCAAACTTCTGGGCTCAAGTTATCTGCCCACTTCCACTCCCAAAATGCTGGAATTACAAGCAAGTGTCACCACAACAGATTCTGCCGTTTTTTTCCTTTTCTTTTTTTTTTTTTTTTTTTTTTTTTTTGGAAATTGGACTGCAGTCTACTCACTCATCTCTTTCCCCATCAGGTGATTTCTATTTTTCCTCAATTTCTCTACCATATGTCCATGCCAAAATCCAGATGTATTTGCTTTTGTTTAAAATTAGATTTTTTTTTTTTTAAGAGAAACCTTAGGAATTGTCTCATAGCTGATTTTCAGGATTCTAATCTTCACTGTCTAAGCCATAAGTTTTCAACTCCGGATACTGATTAGAGTCACTTGTAGGTCATTTAAAGCCTACCAATGCCTGGACCATCCCTCAAGCATATCTGATTTGTCTGATGTGTGGTGTAGCCCAGGGATTGGTTACTTAAAAATGCTTTCAAGGAAAAGGGTCATTTTGCAGTGGAGGAACTTTAACCCAGTGATCAAAGTTAACATCCTCAGTAATCAGAGATAACGACATCTTAGGGCATTCTAATATAATTGATGGAGAAGATGTAGAATCATCCCTGTGGTATTCTTGTACAAAGTGTGTAACCTGAGTTTAATCATGAGAAAATATTAGAAATGTCCAAACTGAGGGTCATGCTACAGAATAAGTAACCAATACGCTTCAAAAATGTGAAGCTTTTAAAGGTAAATCCTAACTTCCCCAGATTAAAGGAGACTGAGAGAACAGTATAATGAGGAGCAATATGTGATACTGGATTGGATCCTAGTCCAGAAAAAGGACGTTAGTTAGAACATCGAGGGGATTTAGATAAGGTCCGTACAGGCATTCATTTTACAGTGTTAATAAACATTTATTGATTTTGATTGGTGCTTATCTACGATGTTAATATTTGGGGAAGTTGAATGAAAAGCATATGAGGACTTTGCCTATTTTTGGAACATTTTAGAAAGTCTGAAAATATTTCAAAATTAAACATAGGAAGAAAAGAAAAGAAATATAGATCTTTTAGATATTTCTATTAAGTTTCCAAAGTTGAAGATCATTTCCCAACTTATCTTGCCTAATACTGGTCAGAGTAATCTTCCTGGAAATAATGTTTGTCATGTTTGTGACCTTCTCAAACCTTTCCAGTGACTTCTCTTATCTGTAGGATGAAGTTCCCATTATGTAGGCTGCCATGCAGTGTCCTCATAACATGGCCCCAATCTCCTTTTTTTTTTTTTTTTTTTTTTTGATCTGTGTTGAAAGACCTGACCAACATTTTACTTTCTTATGGCCAAGATTGTTCTAGTTCTTTCTTGCGTGTATAATACCCTTCCCTGTCTTCTCAACTGTGGGACTTCAGTCAAGGTGGTGGGAAATATTTTAGAAGAAAAATTGTAAAGATAGTTATAGGAAATAGTCACAAACCTTCTTGGAAGTCTGGGGGTTTGCATAGCTTCAGTAAAAGGTTTGGCTGAAGGCAGCTGAATTATCTTAAAAGCTTAGGGCTTGGGTACATAAGAAGGTAGAAGAGTTTATCTAAATAGCTTGTTTACTCAGGCGGTCCTAAAACCAACATTTAATCTTAGGCTGGGGGAACTACCCTCAGGGAAGTCGGCAGTGTCAATTACCTTATAGTGGTGTTTACTCAAGACCTTTGTCATTTAATCTGTAGTAAACAAATGTGCACTTCCCTGGCTGATCAGGGCCAGGGCTGTTAACTCTTTACTGGACCCTTCTTGGTATTGGTGAGTGACTTGGCCACCTAGCCTGCTCTTTCACTGGATATTTGTGTCTGAGTGTATTTGTTCTTCCATTGCTGGGTCAGGGTCTGCTGGTTGGACCCAGACAGTTGGTGCCCCATGTGAGGACCTTGAATGTTGGTTCCCAGGTCTGAGGTATAGCTGCAAATAATTGCGACAGAACCCTCAAAAACGAAGGTGAAGACTGTGCGGTTGGTAAGCCAGTAAGTCGATAAGTCAGTAAGTCAGTAGGTCATTGGTGCCCGTTTGGGATCTCCAAGTTCGAGGGAATTGTTCAGGGTAGGGTTTTATCACGGGACAACAGTTATTAGCACAACAGAAGCAGTATCTAAAAGTATTCAAACAGCTGCTTAAAGCCACTGGAGCCTCGGTTTTGCAGGCTCAATTAAGGGACCTAATGCAAATTGTATCACTTAACCCGTGGTTCCTGGAAGAAGGTAAGCTAGACATAGAGCTTTGGGAACAAGTGGGAAGAAATCTTTTTGCTGTTGCGGTTGTTTTTTCTTTTTTTGAGACACAGTCTTGCTCTGTCACCCAGGTTGGAGTGCAGTGGCACAATCTCGGCTCACTGCTAGC